ATTTTTTTAAAGATTATTATTATTATTATTATTGTTATTATTATTATTATTATTATTATTATTATTATTATTATTATTATTATTATTATTATTATTATTATTATTATTATTATACAAAGTTCCAAACCCAAACTTACATTTATCTTTTTTATCTAGGTCATGAATACTAAGTTCGAAACCTAAAAGTATATTTTTATTCTTTAAAAATCAACTTTATAACATTTTTAGTTCTAGAAAAATTATTTTTTCGCAAATGACGCAATACATTTTTCTCAGGTGGAACAAATCTTTGAAATGCGTATGGTTCCACATATGAATTCTAAGAACTCTAAACAAACATAGCATTTGTCATGCTTATAATTGCACATAATCAAACTTGTTGCAATTGACGCTACAATGGTTCCACATGAATTCTAAACCCATTGCTGAGAGACTTTTTTGTTATGTTGTTATGCTTCCACATGAATTCTAAACCCACAATTGAGCCATTTTTTTGTTTTGTTGTTATTCTTGAATATATGACATGAACAAATATATGGAAAGTAGTATAATTCATGTGGTCTTTGCAAAGAGATGGGGAGTAAAAATGTATTGAGATTAAAAATACATTTTACATTCTGATGTCAAGCAGTCAACTTTATACAATTAATATCAATGTGCACTAATAATTCATTACGTTGTTGCTTTTCTCATTGCGTTGCCGACTACAATGTTTCTGCTTAGACTAGAAGCACAAATTTCCCTTCTAAAAAAGCATCCATGGAACACATTAGTGTAAGAAAATCTACAATCTAGCTTGACTTTAATACTAATAAAAAAATATATGTGACTGAAGGGGAAATATGCTATATTACACGGAGTTTTCTAAAATTACCTTTAAAGAGCATGCTAGCATTAGTGTTTTTCTTGTAACGCCCCAAAACATACCCTAGAATTATTAATGGATAATTGTTCAATTAATCAAATTTGTTTTGATTAAAATAAATTATTGTTGGGCTTTGGCCCGAAATGAAATCCGTTCTGATATCCAATATCACAATTTGGATAATTCTCATTGAGATAAACCCAATATGCTGACTAATTATGTGATCTTGATTGCGAACCTAAGTACAGACCCAAATTAAGAATAAATGAAGAATTTGTCTGTGATGAGAACTTTGAAATGAATTATTGGAATAAATCATGAGACTAAATTAAATGTAAGAACCTTTTTGAATAAAGGTCAATTAAACCAACTTTGACTCTCTCAAAGTCAAAAACCCAAAAAATGATATCGGAAAAAGTACTACAAACAATTATAAAAATTATATCATTGGATAGAGTTCGACTGTCTGATCACAACGGTTCAATCAGATTTTAATTTGGAGAAAGTTTGATAAAAAAGTGTACCCTGACTAGGACCAATAATTTGTCCCAATCAGGGACTACACACCAAACGGCGCCCTGTGCATTCACCGCCTATTACAAAACCTAGAAGCAATTAGGAATCTGCTGCTCAGCTACTCCCTTGGCTTCTACTCCTTCCGTTCACTATATAAGATGACCCTTCAAGCTCCATCCTTCATCATTCTTCTCCATTTTTCTTTCTAAGTGTTCTTGAGAGTGTGAGGAGTGTTGTAGTGCTGTAAATTAGGTGTGAAGTTGCCGGAGCTAGCCACAAATCTCGCTGAAAGTTTCACCGGACATTTTCCAAAACCTCTGTTAAGCTTTGAGGTAAGCCCGCGGATATATCTAATGACTAGAATGTTCATATAGGTCGTTTCTATGTTCATAAATGGCCATTTGGTTGAGTTTTGTATTTGACATGCTTGAAGAACTAAGAATCATAAATCTTAAATTTGATGTTAAAACTATGAACTAATGATACCAAAATGATCTATGAACCTTGGAGAACATTTCTATATAGTTTTATTGAAGTTCGGTAACTAAAAATGGTATTTTCAAAATTGGACCCGAAACAAAGAAGAAGATGAACAGTTACCGAAACCAGCAGGGTGGATTGATCCACCCCACTAGATCGATCACCTGGGGAAGTTTCTCTACGGAGGATCGATCCAAGGTGCTGGATCGATCCCCCGACCTGAATGCTCCAAAATTATTTCTGAAAATGTTATTTTTGATAACAATTAATTATGAACAATATAAAGATGATTTTTCATAATAAAAATGATGTTTTTTGCAAACCTTATGTGATGCATGACGGTAAGTTCGGGTGTTAACACTCAAAACTAGGTCGTTATTTGCTATTGGATGTTATGTTGATTGATGATTATGATGAATTATTATTATGGATGATTATGAATGATGAACCTACTTATTAAAATGGTTAGTGATGATTAAATCATGACTAAAAATGGATATAATGGTGATCATGAAAATGATGTATTTTGTTAAGGATATCTAGAAGAACTCTAAGATATATCCACTTGAAAATTCATGATGATTATTAAAGGATATCTAGAAGAAGTCTAGGATATACCTCCTTGACCAATCCATAATTCGGGGTTAAAATGTACGTACGTGATCCAGGCCGGATATCACTCGCTCGACAGCTCACTGTTCGGTTGGTACGTAATCCACATGACTCATAGGGTGGATTATCGATTCTTGTGTTCTGCCTTAAACTATTTATAGTTTAAGATCCTAGTTAGAAATACTGCCTTAGACTAAGAATAGTTAAGAGCTTGTTATAAAATGATTTGGAATTAGATTTATAATAATTTAAGATCATTTTTAAAATACTGAATATGGAATATTATATATGTCATGAAATATCTTGAATGAGAATATTATGATTATCATGAAATATAAATGATTGAATATTATGTGCATGATATCAAATGATTGATAATGAATTGAGATTCAATTTGTATGGATGTTCGACGCTTTAGATATGCTTACTTAGCTTCACCGCTGAGCGTGTAGTGTGTTTTATTTGCTACATGCAGGTAGGCAGAATGAAGTGATTGTTCCTGATGGCAGACAGGGGCGAGACGGTCGTGATGGATGTGTGGTTTAAATATTTAATTATGAATGTCATGTGACATGTTTTAAATTCGCTTCCGCAACATTATTAAACACTCTGTATTTCCATAGTTTTGTATTGAATATTATTTATGATAAATAAAGATATTTGAAATGTTTTGAAATATTACGATTAACAAATTAATACTTTAGTTCGAAAAGAGCTGCAGATCTGGACGGATTAGGGTGTTACAATTTGGTATCGGAGCAAAGAGAGGCCGGAGATATATATCTTTCTAATTTGTGTGGTATGGAACATACAGCTTGGTAAGATACATGTAGGTGGCGGAGGTAGTTATCTTTTTAATCTGTGTGGTCTGGGACACACAACTTAGGGAGATATATACAGCCAACTCATGCTCTTTAGGAACCCTCGTGCGTGAACGGTGGCGAAGCGTGACTCCCCGCCCTAGGGCTCAAGCAATTGAGTGGTTTTTTGCGACCAAATTGTAGCCACATAAATGTGTTACAATTTAGTATCAAAGCAAATGGTTTTAAAACCGATCTTCGGATCAAAATTTGATTTTAAAAAGAAAATATGTCAATCACATCCATGACTCTCGCATCCCTCTGTTCCAGGAAAGGTAATGAGAATTTATTTGATAGATATTGACTATATTAAATTCTCATTAGATAACAATTGATTAGTACTAAAATCTTATCGAGCGTAGACTCAAGTCGAATTGATGTTGGACTAGAAGATCGCTGTTTAGCCAAGCCTGAAATTCTTGAAGTCTTTTGAACAGCGATGTAGTCTCTACATCGATGCTTAGCTCAAGCTAAGAAAAATGTCTTTTGGCAGATTGGTTTTGAACAACGATGGTTGCCCGACAACATCGATGTTAGGCAAAATTCTTCCTTGGAAGGTTAAGCTTGAATGGCAATGTTCAATTGTGAACATTGATGTTGGCACCTGACCGTTGGAAGATATTAATGGCTGAAACTTTCCATGTTTATAAGTCAACACCTTGAACAGCGATGTTCACCTTCTCAACATCGCTGTTGAGGTGACCGTTGAAGCTTCCAGTTTGAAAGTTTAACCCTCAACAGTGATGTTCAGTACTTGGACATCGATTTTAGGCCTATTTTCAGCAGATCCCATTTTTAATTAAATCCCACAAATTATGCCAATCACCCCCAATCAATTCCTACTCGTTGGAGCCTATTTTTCCACTATAAATTGGGGTGTTTGGGCCTGCTTTTACCATCCAATTACTTCACAATTCATACTCCTTCTTTGCATTATATTCATACACTTTTCGTAGCTTTAGAGAGCCATTCTTGTGAAATTTTTGTTGCGTTCTTGAGCGTTGTTAGTTTACTCAACATTCACTATAAAAGAGAGTATTGTTTTTGAGTGTATTTGTGTTTAAGACACTAGTTAAGAGAAGGTGATTCTCTTGTTGGTTCAAAAGAAGGTTTGTTTCCTTCGAAGGCTCGTTGAAGTTTGTGTAACTCGAACTATCAAGTTGTACGAGTTTGTTAAGCACCGTTAAGCTTAACGTTGATAGTGTAACTTGAGAGAGTCTCCGGGAGGCTGGATGTAGCCACACGTTGTAGTGAACTAGGGTAAAATCGGTGTGTCTTCTCCTTACTCTTTACTTTCGCTTTTAAATTTTTTATTCCTGTGATTTTTTGTTTCAAACATTATTCACCCCTCTCTAGCGTTGGGACTATTACTTAACAATTGGTATCAGAGCCTAACTCTCTTCCAGACTTAACCGTTTGAGAGAAATAAAATCATGGGCTCTCTGTCTAGAAATTTGTGCGCAGGTGTAGGTGAAGGACAATCTACCTCAAGGCCACCACTCTTTGATGGCACCAACTATGCATATTGGAAGGAACGGATGAGAATCTATATCTGTTCCACCAATTTCCAATTGTGGTTGGTTATCAAGAATGGTGAAGAGGTACCTATGAAAAAGGCAGTAGAAACCACGGTCTCAAAGACCAAAGACGAATTTGATACCGAAGACATCAAAAAGGTCGAAAACTAAAACATGCTTTATAGTGCCGTTAATCCCGACGACTGCCGGAAGATCTCTTGCTGCTCAAGCGCCAAAGAGATGTTGGACAAGCTTGAGGTAACGTACGAAGGTACAGATCAAGTACGAGAAGGAAAAATAGATTTTCTCACCCAAGAGTATGAGATGTTCAGAATGATGGAAGGTGAGAAGATCAATGATATGTTAGATCGCATCTCTAAGATCATCAATGATCTTCATGCGTTGAAGAAAATATATTCCAAAAAGGACCTAGTGAGGAAGATCCTGCAAAGCATGACTCCCGAGTGGCGCTCAAAGGTCGATGCCATTTACGAGTCAATTGGCATTTCCAATGTCACCATCGATGGACTAAGAGGTAATATCAAAACCTACGAATCTACTATACTTAACCCATCTTTGGATGAACAAAGGAAACGGGGGATATCACTCAAAGCCACCAAGGAACCGATGGAAATAGAATCAAGCATTGAGGATAACGAGTTTGGGCTTGTTATCAAAAAGTTCACAAACTCTTGAGGAAAGAATTTGAGCGCAAAGGGAAGAAGCACGACGGTCCCCCGAAGTGCTATGGATGTGGCGAGATTGGCCATATCAAGCCAAGATGTCCAAAAGCCAAGAACGGCAAGGACAAGAACGACTTCAAGAAGCAAAGAGCGTACATTTCTTGGGGTGGTGATTCCGGCGATGAGTCAACCGACCAAGAGGAACATGAGGCTGCAAATCTTTGCCTCATGGCACATGAAGAAGCAAACGAAGACGTGCAAGAGGTATGTACTACTTCTTCCAACTTATTCTTTTGAAGAAATGCGAGGAAGAACGTGAACTTTATGACGAATTTGTTAGTACTTCTAAAACCAATAAAGCTTTAAAGAAACATATTTCTACTCTTGAAAAGGACTTTGAAAATATAGAAAAAGATAATGAAAAATTGAAACAAAAAAATAAATTTTATGGAAAAAGAAGCACCGGCAAACCCGAAAGTTCAACAAATGGGTGTGAATCATGCAAGTCCTTAAAAGAGCATGTCACAAAATTTGAGAGCACGGTCAAGAAATTTAATACACCACACAAAAATCTCAATTTATTTCTTGACACTATGCAATTTTCTAAAGAAGGAATAGGGTATAATAAAAATGAAACAAAAGATGAATAAAAAGTGGAGCAATCACCTAAAAAACCACCTAAGGCTCAACGTAAGAAAGATAAAAATCAGGATAATAGAAAACTTAGTCAATCTAAGAACACTAGACAACCTAGACAATAACCTTGGAATGAAAATGTGCATGCTAGACAACCTAGGAGAAACTATCAAAATGATTTTGTGTACAAAAATAATTTATCTCAAAAATGGAGAAACAATGTTAGAACTGTTGGGTTCTACGCTTGGATAGGGCAGCGGAAAACAAAAAATTTGATGTCCAAACGTAGATCCACCCAGGACCTCTTATGATTATTATAAGTTATTGTTGAGAAATATACCTTTCTTGGCGAGCAAGCAACGATATGTGTAGGTTGATAGATTGATCCAAGAGCTAGCCACAAAAGTATATGACCTCCAGTTAAGACACACGAACAATGAAGAGCGTTCTAAAGAAAATTATGCTAGTAATCTTTCTCTAGAATATTTCTAAAATATAAAATATTTGGTGTAAAATATTAAGAGAACAAAACAAATTTTTCTCTCTCAAAATAAAGAGGAGGCCGAAATTCTCTATCATCAAAAGGGATGGGATGATCTCCTATTTATAAGGAGAATAATCCTCATTCCTATTCCTAATAAGAATGTATCTTTTAGAGTTTAGGAAGGAAATCAAATCTCATTCCTATTCTACTTAGGAAATTTCAAATGGCACTTTAAGGAAGCTTCCAATTTATTTTGTCAACTTTAATTATCATATAATTAACACAAAATAAATAATATAACATTTATATTACATACACATATATACGAAACACACACACACACACACACACACACATATATACGCCGAACACACACACATATATACATATATATATTTACGCATATATATATATATATATATTTAATAATTATGTTATATTTTGTTCCTTAAATAATATTTTACAAACTTAATTATCATATAATTAAAATGTCCAAATATTAAATATATATATATATATATATATATATATATATATATTTCATGCCTTAATAATAATAATAAAATAATAAACAATTTATTATTCATATATATATATATATATATAATTAAATATATTTGACAAACTTAATTATCACATAATTAAAGTGTCCAAATATTTATTTATATATATGTTTGTGTATTTAATCATATTGTCATACAATATAATACACACGATATATAAATAAAGTGCAACTTTACTCCACTTAAATATTCTACACTTTCATATGTTCTGTGTGTAACCCTATTCTAGGCATCTATAAAATTGGCCATAGTATTGAATACTACAAGTGATAAGCGATATCTAGCAACACATTATCACCCCCAAATTATAGATTAAAGCTCTTGAAACAATTCCTTCAACGACACATCCTATTTGTGTAACACCACAAAATATGGCCTAAATGTTATTATAAAACAAAAGTAATTTTGAATATCATTTTGGTCCAATAACGAATATTTATACGCTTGACCAAAAATAAATAGATTTTCAAAATAATGACTTTTTGTTAAAAACTTATTTTTATGGATATGTCTCGAAGAGACGAATCCAACGGTACATTTTATGAACCAATCTGAATTATAGATTTCAAGCTATGACGATTTTAAATATTAAAATTTGTAACTTTGACCCATAAAATAAACTAAAATCAAAAGTGCTTTCATAAGATTAGAAATCTTAATTTTGACACTTGACAATAGCATATTAACCATTTGGATTAAATTCATATATTTTTATATCATTCATATCATTAAATTAATTTATGACAGAGACAGACCCAGACAATTAAAAAAAAAGTTCTCAGAAAAATATTTTTGATTATGTCAAAGTTCTAGTTTTGACAGTCTCATTCAAAAAACGCAACCCGTTTCTGATTCGGAGCAGTTTGGGCGAAAAAGCGCGTACCGTTTTAGCCAGTTTATCAGTTACGGAGTTGGAGAATATTTTAATTCTCCAAAAGTCTTCAATTACGCAGCCCATATCTCTCCTCAAATCTTCAATTAGCCACCCAAATCACTAACTCCTCAATTACCATATAATACTCCAAAACTCTCCTCCATTTTGTCAAACTTCCATTTCACCACACATCTCCTAAACTCTCCCATCTCTCTCTCTCTGTCGGCCATAACAAGGAAGGGAGAAAACCAAGAAAAAACTCCATGAATTCTTGGTGCTAAAGAAGAAGAAAACACAGCCACTCCTCCATGGTTGTATGCTAAGGAAGAAGAAGAAGAAGCAAGAAACATCTAAAGTTTCCAAAATCCTGAGCTCAAACGCAGCAGCAACTTCTAGGTAAAAACTGATTTCCATCCATATTCTCGAAATACTTTCTGAACCAAAGTTGTAGCCCCGGACGATACGAATCCAGCCCAACAAACGGCTTGCGATTTCGTTATGTAACGAAGGAGATATGGCCAAAATACCGGGACTGCGCCAGTGGTGGCGAGCTCCTCGGGTTGGCTATGTTTCCTCACCATATCCATGTTGTTTCATTCCAAACACTCACCATAAACTCTCTAACAATTATTAGGAACATCCGGAAGGTATCGTAGAGAAGGTTCGGTGTTGGAATATTGAAGTTAATGAGTTAATCGTCGGAACCGTTGTTCACCGGAGTATTCAAAAATTCTGGACAGCAACGTTCCCTTGACTTCAGGTCCGATTTACGCTATCTTACATCTGTTAACTCGAAATACTTTCTATACGAAAGTTATAGCTTTACATCTTAGGAATCCACAAAATCAAACGGTTTGCGATTCCGTGAAGAAACGATGGAGATATGCCCAAAATACGGCAGGCTGTCCAATTGTGACGAAAATGACAAAGTTGGTGAATTTCGATGTTGTTTCCACTCCCGCTCGTCCGTAAGGTTCGGCTGATGATTTCCAAGTTTGTACCCTTGCGTTAGACTTGTCGAATCATTCATCACATTCGTACATGAACATATATATTATTCCATATGTTGAAATCATCCCAAAATATATATGTGATACACATCTAAGTCATCCATGTGTTGAAATCAAAATACACCAAATTCATAAAGTTAATATACACATAAGAAGATATAAACCTTGGAAATCAACCCAACAATATGTATATGTTAATCAAAGGTGTTTAAAAGACTTAAAGAAGTATTTTGGACACTCAAAATATCAAGAGAAAGATTCGCAGACCCGAACGGTCGACGTAAACGGTCGACCGTCGCATTAAACATCAAAACGGAGCACGACTGTCAGCAAAACGGTCTACCGCCGCCAATCTAGCCGAAGTCCGTCATCCGCAGCTAGTCAACAACGGTCGACCGTTTGGTACGGCAGTCGACCTTGTTCTTCGTTTCGTCGGATTGGCGGTCGACCATCACGGTGATCCGCCAATCCGACGAAACGAAGAACAAGGTCGACTGCCGTACCAAACGGTCAACCGTTCTGAGCCCAGTAGCTTGATTAAATGATATTTTAATCATGTTTCAACCAAATAAACTTGTGCATGATTATATATTCATATTGTTTGCAAATTGTTCACATCATATCATTCATTTCATCATTCATATTGAAGCATATCACATCATATGCATGCGTAAGAGATCATGCCTCGTGCGTCTCTTATAGCGTGGTTGTGCGGGACTTAGCAGTCCGACATCACTGACCGAGCTTAGTGTACGTACATCGTATTCAGGCTTTCGAGTACCACCCCTATTTTTCTAGTCTCACCTCATTCGTGAGACTAAGGTGGCGTGAGTTCGTCGCACAACCTGGGCGAATCTCATAGCGCAAGGGTCGTCCTTGCACGTTTAGGTTCATGCATCATGTTATCATCATCAAATACAATTATATTGATTACATAGGTGTCATGTAATCATCATGAAGAACAATTATATTGATTACATAGGTGTAATGTAATCATCATCAAGAATAATTATATTGATTAATATGCCATCACGTAATCATCATTAAATATCCATCATCATAAACCATCAACTTGATCATATTATATAATGTGCCATATGATGAATATTGTTATACATTTTTGTGGACATATATATATGTATATGTATATGTCTATGAATTATTCTACAACTCTAGCGTGGTACCACTCAGCGGTTTCGCTGAGCGTGTAGTTTGTATTTTTGGTTGACTACACGTAGGTAACAAGAAGACAAGAATGGAACAATTCCCGGAGGGCATTGAGTCAGAGGAGATGCAAGGATGGCAGGCAACTGTTTGATCATCAAGATTTTAAATCTGTCATGATTTGATTATTATTGTACTTCTGCATTACTCCGAAAATATTTTTAAACGGGTCGCGATCCAGAGTCTGTAAATTTAATATTTATAAGTAATTGTCATTTTCAAATGTCAAGCGAAATTTTTATTTAACTCCGGTTTCACCTTAATACGTGTAATTCCGGGTTATACGGATTAGGGTGTTACATTTTGGTATCGAAGCAAAAACGATCTTCGGATCATTGAGTCAGTAGTTTCAAAGTCCTGCGTCTGGATCCTCCTCGACATCTCTGCCCCGGGAAGATAATCAACAAGTAAGTTACTATGTCATAACACACATGCTTAACTCATTGAAAATTTTCTTCTCTTGTGTTGCTAGTATCCTCATAGACCCGATTGCAATAAAGTTTAGATTGCCTCAAGATGTTTTTCAACGATCACAGTCGACATCAAAAGATCAAGAAGAGGGATTGTAAACCCGATAAGCATGACATATACGTATGTCATAGTACGCGAATGGCTAAGTGAACGATGTGAATCAACTTCTGTCAACGTGAAGAATACATTGAAGAAAGAACTTTATCCGATAGAAAGTGAACAAATTCCCCAAAACTGAATCTGTCGTTTTTTTAAGAACACGAACAGAGCCTCACAAACCAGATCGAGTACAACATATGTATCGAATCTGAAATGCATTATAGAAATGAATCTACATACAAACGTTAGAAAATTATATGGAAGCAAAGGTATCAAGAAGTACGTCAGAAGCATGAGAAGTGATTCTACTAACAGAAAATGCCAATATCTCAATATAATGAAGTCCCGACAAATCTACTTCTCCAAGATGAAGAAATAAACACAAAAATTCTCCTATTAGAATTCATATCCACCATATGGAATGAATAGGATAACGTATCTACAATCGGTAACGAGTAAAGTTGCATACATAACGCTGATCAGACGTAGATAACAGGAAGTCTGTAGTATAAATAGTTATGTGACTATGACATTGAGTTTGATCTGCGAGATTGGCGTCATTACATATATTTTCAAATCATGAGCAAGGATTATTGTATGCTTCATGTCGTAGTCAAACCACGGGTGCAATAGTATTGGATGCTTTACGTCGTATTCAATTCATGAAGTGACAAAGATTTAAAGATGATCCGATAGTCAAAAGGCTATGCATCTACGATAATAACGTCGTGTATCTCAACCCCAACTATAAATTCAAGATGAGAATTGCAAGAAGCATACACAACCAGAAGAGAAAGAAAGAAAAATATAGAGAAGCTTACATATAAACTCAGAACAGAATATGGCTTCATTGAAAAGAAGAGCTGAGACTTCTGCCCAATCCACGGGACGCCAACATCCAAACCAAAGAGAGAACATACTCTAACCTCCAAGGGAGCATGCTTATGTACAAGTTCCAATAAAAATGACACAGTACAGCTTACTATCAATGACGCCCATGCAACCTCAGATCACGACAACGTATCGAATACCAACTGTGAGGAAACACGAACTCCAAACCATCCACGAATAACGCCAACACCAGCTTCAACAGCTCGAGAAGTTCCTTTACCTTCAGGTAACATTCACTCATCAAACTCTGACTACATAAAAGAATTTAGTTGATGTTATCAACAAGGGATGTCATGTCTATGATGAAAATCTCGATGCAACTCGAGCACATGCCTGGCTCAAGCAAATCATTAAAGTTTTTCATGACTTGATGATGCCTGAGAAGTTTCAATTCGTGTTGCTGAAGATCTATTAGCCGGACACACTCGTATATGGTGGGAACGAACTAAGAAAAAGCTTGAAGGCCAACCAACATGGCCAATGTTTGTACAAGAATTTATTTCTTACCACTTTTCGCCAATTGATCGTGATTGTGCAGAAATCGTATTCTCATCAAGAACACAAGGTGAATCCACTGTGAGGGAATTTGTGGAAATCCTACAGAACGTAGTTGTCTACCTGCCAGAGAGAGCAATAAGTAAAGAACAACTTAGTGGGAGATTCTTAGTCGGGCTAAATCCACACATTTGGCGAACAATGAATCTGTCATCATTGATGAAGTTTCGATCCTTAGTACAATTAGCAGAACGATCTGAAATGACACAAAATCAAGAGGATCGACCAATACAACCCTCGAAAAAGGGAAAGGAATTAGAAGTAGGACCATCTACTCAACGTAAACGAACACAAAATATGTAAATTGATCCATCTCCAAGAACAAGAAAAAGGAAAAGTTGTCACTTGTGTAACGAATATGACCACACTAAGGGTGAATGTGATCCCGACTCAAGTCAATTGGATGGACCACCAAGGGAAATCACGCATGTATCAGTAGAATCCCAAACATCTTAGAATATGACTACGTGTATAACTTATCATGTTCTTGGTAATAAATAATGAAACTGTTGTGTGACGAATATTAGTGATATGACGAATACACTAATATTATAATTTTCGAGCACGAAGCTCTATCATAATTACTGAGAAAGTATGAAATTTCAAGGTAGTTCTGGAATCATCCATCAGAAAATCAGTATTCAAGAATGACTACATATCATCTTGATAATACAAACAGTGACAAAATAACAAGTGTTATCCAATACGTTCATCTAATCATTACAATGTGATAAAAACATATATTATTGTTATACAGAAGTGTGATATGCATGTTTACGGTTATAGGAATGCATAAGCCATGTGAAATCAGATTGTTGACATTACGTTAGTCAGAATAACTCCATTAAGGATCGCTAATGAAAGTTCAAGTTTTGAAACTATAATTACATATTCATCTAAGAAACCTAGAATGATGACTATGGTTATAGTCATTCTCCAAAATACCGTTATGTAAAAACGTCAAACCTCGAAATAATTCGTTCCAGCTTGTAAATAACGAAGCGTAATTTGTGAAACCAACATTCTAGACAAAGTCGTCTGAGAATGATTCTAGAAGAACTCTTGAAAACTCCTACAACACGGCAAGAGCAAGTCTAAGAGTATATTCGACGCAAGTCTCCATGAAAGAAATCCGCATGTATCTTTTCTCAAAAGAGAACATGTCATACTCATGACACTCAACAAAAGAAAGAGAAAACAAATTCTCAAGATTAGTGTTTTACAAAAACAATGGAAATTCAAGATTTTGTACATCATCATTTTAAATGACTTCACCTAAGGAAATTTCGGGGACGAAATTTCTTTAAGGGAGGAAGAAATGTAACACCACAAAATATGGCGTAAATGTTATTATAAAACAAAAGTAATTTTGAATATCATTTTGGTCCAATAACGAATATTTATACGTTTGACCAAAAATAAATAGATTTTCAAAATAATGACTTTTTGTTAAAAACTTATTTTTATGGATATGTCTTGAAGAGAGGAATCCAACGGTACATTTTATGAACCAATCTGATTTATAGATTTCAAGCTATGACGATTTTAAATATTAAAATTTGTAACTTTGACCCATAAAATAAAATCAATTCAAAAATGATTTCAAAAGATTA